TTGGGGGGGGGGGGTGTTTATGATTCCCTCAAAATGGAATCTTGTGAAAGTTTAAATGCAAGCCAGTCTCAAGATGACTGTACACTGATTAGCTGTACTGTTCAAACAATCAACTAATGATAAGAATTATGAAATTAATAAAAAGAAAAAAAAATAATTAACTGCAGGAAAACCAGCAAAACAGAATATTTAAGTAGCACAATAAAAACAAATGAAAAAGTGATTACAATACTCAACATGGTCATTTCAAAACTCACTTTACATAGGGAGCTGAGATTATATCCAAAGGTCTGTGCATTCCGAGAACCTGCATTCATGTAGTTTCCCATTAACAATACTAGTTCCAGCAGCTTGCTAAAGCTTTTACTCTTCTTTATCTCTTCACAGGCAGCACTGACAGCCATGATGTCAGGTTTGATGTTGTTCACCTGCTCCTCAAACTGAAGCTTAAAAAGAATAGCACTGAGCCGTGGCCGTAGTCTCTTCACGTTGCTCATCTGATTGAAAAGAAAATAGGAGATTTCCTTTAAAATTCATGGTACACTTTGGCACTGTACAAATGCATACAATCTGAAATGATTTATTGGTGTGACAGGCTTGAAGAAGCAATATATCTGCTATAACTGATAGCAAATGAACGAATGAATGAGAGACACTTGGGTAAGCAACTGAAATCCCATCTTGTGGTTAATACGAACTGCCCCCATCCTTTCCCAATAACTAGTATGTGTAAGCAATAAAAGATAAAGTGTCATCATATATCACATCTGTCAACTCATATACCAAATCCCATAAAACTAATACAAGTTTATGACCCAGTAGTTGCAAAGTAATAAAAGTCGTTCTCAGATTTTGTATAACTCCGGACATACCAAAACAAGGCAAATCTGATTTTCTGGTGCAAATATTTAAAAGCTGATTTCAATAAGAGCTTACTGTAAACTTACAGGAAAATAACAGTTTTGAAAAATCTCAGCTATAAAACACTTATAGCATATGTTAATATTTACCACTATTCATACCCCACTATACTCCTGTATACTAACCTTATACAGTTAATCATGTAAAGCAGAATGCTCCCAGGAAAACAGTAGCTTCTGTAGAACATATGCAGACTTGGCTTTTTCTACAGTTTACTGATCAGGCATTTTCAACAGAAGTTTCAATGTCCCCATACAGCTTAGGTCACTGAATTTCCAACCCAGATATACTTTGCACGCTACTTACTATATCCAAATAAGACTCCAGATTTTATTTCTTCTTTAAATTAAGGAACATCAAATACACTAAATAAATTAAATTCCTCCATCTCTAAAGTTTCCAATGCACTATTCACCCTTCCAACTCTGACACAGAAATCTTCAAACATACTTTAGGTTTGACATCACATACAACCCCAGAAGCTTTCTCCCTACCAGACTTTATGTTCCTTGCTTTCTCCTTCACCCAAAGCAGAAATCAAGTTGTTTTTTTTTTTTTTCTCCCTGCTGTGGTTCTGTTTGCACGTGAGAAACACTAGTCTCAAATTCTTCCATGAGATTCTTCCCTCATTTTTCCCCTATCTCTGTTTTCTCACCAATTTGATGAATTCCATAAGACCTTCTTCCCCATACTTCTGGTTTTGCCTTCTCAAGGCAAAGTTCAATTCAATAATCCCTTGACAATTCCTGAAAATTTAAACTAGGTTTTGGGTTTTTTTGAACATAGAAACCACAGGTTATGGTTTCCAGATATCAGTACTTCTCAATGCAAGAAAATCAGCAATAATAGATTGAAACCGCAAAAGTTTGCCTTTCAATTGGAAATATCCCCCTCCAAACCACAGTGCTACTTAAGGTGTACAGAATATTTTTCAACCCCTATCTAGTCTATCAGTGTGGAATAGCTCTGACAGTGCAATGTTCACAAGTCGTTTGGTGCTGATTATCCCACAATAGACTCAAGTGAAAAGGATAATGGTGACACTCTTCATCTATTTCAGTGTAAAGTCAAAGAAGCTACCTTAAACTGATACTGAAGGCTGTCCAATGCAAAGGGTTTGATATAGAAGCAGAAGAGGATGGAGTTTAGAGTCTATTTTATTGGTTTTACTGTGACAGTGGTAGAAAATGAATTCAGGTAGGCTTAACATTTTATGCTACTAAACCACTTCTGCAATGCCTGCCTAGCAGTGCAATCACCTGATGATGATCCACTGAAGTAAGCATACCATTTGCATTTTAGTTCAGATAAGAAATCTTGAATAAAATAAGCAATCCTTTCCACTAACCACACTTCGGTTTTCATTGCAGAGCATACAAACAGGATGCTTTTCAGATTAAACTAGTTTGAAAATCAACTGCACTAGCTTTAGTACACAGACTGCCTCCAGCCTAGTCCTAAAGTAAAACACTAAAATGTATATAGTTTGAATCTTAGCTCAGTATCAACTGTAGTCACATATGCAGCACTTATCATACACCAAATAGCATCCAACAGTGTGGCAAAATTCTTACTTAAGAACAGGTAAGCAAGGATAATGGGACTTGAATTTAAATATGGCATTTCACAGTGAAACAGAAACAGGAGTACCTAAATTCTACCTAAAATTAACATAGTACTCTTACAACTTCACACCTAATTTAAGAATACCTGAAAGTATATTAAGGTGACAGAGGCAAATGTGACAAAGTTCTTCTCCCAGCTCCATCAGGAAGAATCAGTATTAATTCCTTTTCCTCAAACAATTAACTTACTAGATTTACATATATAATACTACTTCTCAGCATATTGAAAATAATATTCTTAGTTTTAAATTTTGTTCTCTGTTCAGCCATGAAAAATTTGAGATTAGACTAGACAAAACACAAAACTCCATTGAAATTATCCGTATTTTTACTATTTGTCCCTACTCAGGATGCACGAGAGAAGATCATTAATATTAAACCATGAGAGCTAACAGAATAAAGTGTAAACTCATTGATTTTAAATGATACCAAACTCAAGATACTACAGAACCAGCAGATGATGCATTGTTTATTGATTCTTGGCTTCTCAGACAGGCAGATTCTTGAAACTGAAATAATCAGGTTCTTCAGATCACAAAGATATGTTGCACAAACATGAATAAGCACACATGCAAATGAAAGATGCAAAGTCTTCATCGGAACCAGTTGAAATGCAACAAATTAAAAAGTTTTGTACATAAGTCTTAAGGTTGGATACAGAAATACGTAATTATTAAAATCAGAAACAGCAGCACATGCCAGAAACATTAACAGAAATGCCACCGAGGTTTTTTTATTATTGTTTTTTAAACACTCTGAAATCCGTAGTTCATGTACAATAAATGTTGTTGGTGCTATTTGTTTACCTGTTTGATAAGTCAATAATTGAGAAGAGAGGAGATGGAGAGTTACCTTGGCTCCCCTATGGCTTCCTTTGTGATATACAGTCTGAAAATATATTGAAACTGTAAAATCCATACACCTTATCGCAAGAGATTCTTTAAGAGATGTTATAAGTGCTGCAGTGTTGAGAGGCTTATGTCCATGCCCTATCTTTTCTATAATCAGCATATAAGTACATAAGTCGACTTATGTCCTTATAGGGGAATCCTGAAAACAGACAATCCAAATAACTAAAAAGGGAACTTGAAGTACAAAACTAAAGAGTGAGAAGACTACACACAGCAGAGAACTCAGTGTATAGGTAATGAACTGTTCTATTTTTCAAGTAAAAGTCCACAAGAATATTCTAACTATGTGCAGGTCCAAATGGGAACTGACAGCTGAGTTGAGCTATCCAGTAGTAGCTCTCACAGTCATTTATCCAACAGCAATGAGGAGTTTTTCTCCCAAATACAGCATAAATCAGAAGGCACCTGCAACAGTGGGATATCTGGTAAACGTGTGCTTTCACTGTCCACTTTGCCGATGTCAAGTAAAGGAACATGTCTCAGAAGTTATACTAACATTAAATTTTCATCACTGAAATGTGATTCATTCTTACCGCAAGCTCATAGAGAAAAACACTGCAAGGGTTCTAGTTTCACAATATACCTGCCTTAAAGGATCAACAGTGCTGAGGCTGTCACACCACCTGAAAGTGTTCCCATCCAAAAAGTAAAATATAGGTTACAGGCAAGCCAACTAAAAGAGTAAACTGGAAGAGTATCCCCTGTGGAAAATACATGGTTTTTCAACACTGCAGCATCAGTGAAACAGAGTGCATAGTTAAAAAGTGTGAATTCCTAAAATTTATCTTTAGACTCAGACACCTGAAAAGCAGAAAAAAAATTTCAAGTAAGGAATAACTGATACTTAACAGACCTTTTACTACACTTAAAGAAGAAAAAAGAACACCCTGCTCAATTTGAAATGGGCAATCAACATGCCCAAATCTTAGTGAAGACCACCATCATTCTGGAAAGATCAAACATTTTTTCAGTGTTGTCAATCTGCAATAATAGGTTTTTTGTTGAGGTGTTTTTATGGCTATGTGGAAATAACACATTGACAAACTCTTTTTCCCAGAGAAATTATAATAAAGTCTGGAACTGCCAACTCAAAATTAAAATTACCTACAAAAATTCAGGTGATCTTTATACTTATAAAGTGGATACATGTACATGTTAACAATTGAACTGAATTGACTTTTCACCTTACTAGCACCGATAGAGGGCACACCCTGCTTCTTTACTTCTTCAGCTTGAATTATAAACATCTTGAATTTGCACCACTGACTCAATTTTCTTGCAGATCCAAGATTTTCCTAAAGTATATTCAGGACAGAAGAAAAGGGAGTATACTATAAGTGACACAGGGGCAACACCTATCAATTACCTCCTAGCTGCAAGCTCTCTTGTCTTGTGGATGACAGTGCATTGATGTACACTGTGGAGAATTCCTGGTACTGTTTTTTATGGCATTATGTTCAACCAAGATGGACTAGCAAGGCCAGTCTGCAGATCTCAGAAATAGGTGCTCTCCTCGTGAATACTCCAGAAGTCACCTGTCATGAAATACATTCAACGTGCTAGTGGGGTCTACAACACAGCTGTCAAACTAAGCTGAGTTTACAGTTATCATGCTGAAATTCAGATAGGTATGTTCTACTATGAAAAGAAAGAGGTGATTCTTTTCTCTTATCCAAAAAATACAACTAGATTTACTGTTATCTTGATCAGAATGTAATGCAGAGACAGCTGTTTCTCCAAACTGAGTTTAGACAAATATATTTTCCTAAAAAGGAATCATCCAAGAGTGGGAGGGTCTAAATTTCCCAAATTCTTCTATTTTTAGCAGACCTAACAGGTGTCAGAAAAGCTCTGTTCATTAAAATGTACATATGGAACAGTTGCTACCAGACTGAAAAGCTTTTCTCATGGGAAACCAAGTCAAGAGTTTATTATAGGTAAAAATCCTCTGTAAAACCTCCAATTCATCCAGATAGCAAAAATAAATCAATTTACACTAGAAGTCAAGGGCAGAAGTCATTGAGGAATTTAGAACAGAAC